GGAGGAGGAGGAGGAGGAGGAGAAGGAGGAGAAGGAGGAGGAGAAGGAGGAGGAGGAGGAGGAGAAGGAGGAGGAGGGGAGGAGGAGGAAGGAGCAAGAGGAGCAGGAGGAGCAGGAGGAGGAGGAGGAGGAGGAGGAGGAAGGAGGAGGAGGAGGAGGAGGAGGAGGAGAGGAAGGGCGGAGGAGGAGGGGGAGGGAGGAGAAGAAGGATTGGCGCGCCCGTCCTGGACGCCGCCGCGCGCTGAGGCGGGGCGCGCGGGCGGCGCCCGCCGCGGCCGCGCCCCGCGGGGGCGCGGGGGCGCCCGCGGGCGGCGGCGCGAAGGCGGCGAGGCCCGCCATGGGCCCAGGCGCGGCCTCGGCCCCGCGGCGGCCGCCGGGCGCTGCCAGAGTTAGGTCGGGCCCGTCTCTCTACAGGGGAGAAAATTCAAAAATAGTCAGGGCATAGTGTTGGGACGACTTTTTGACCATTTTTGAACAGTTTAGGGTATTGTTTGCCCATGTTTTATTTTGCGACCAGAATCGGCCTGTAGGGGGACAGGCCCGACTGAATGCCAGAGGGGGAGAAAAAAAGCACGGCACGCGGCCGCAAACCTGCTGGCGTCGTGAGAAAATCAGGACGGCATCTTTGTTTTTGCTTTTTTTGTTTTTGTTCTCCTACCGAGTCCAGTATTGGACCGGGCTTAGTGCTCGATCGGGGATTGTGTGTGTGTGGGTGTGGGGGGGGGGCCCTCGCTCGCTGGGCTCCGGGGCCCTCAACAAAACTACTCTGGATAGGAGCCGGCCCCGGGGAAAGGGTCTGGACATCCGGGGACGCCGCACTGAAAAAATCAGGACGTCGCAGGTCTGGGGCAGGCTCGTGTCGCGCTGACTTCCTAGACCCCTGCAGGTAATACAAAAAACAGTGCGGAAGGTTTTGTCCGCTGCATTCGGCCTCGGGAGGCCCCTACCCGCCCTCGGGACCGTCAACAGAACGACTGCAGAATAAAAAACCGGTCCCGGGGAACGGGTCCAGATCGCTGGGGATCCAGGCCATGAAACAATCACGACGTCGGGGGGTCTGGCTTCGGCGTCGGTTCCTGACAGCGCGCGCGGATCGTGCAGCCTTGAACGATCGGCCGTTTCCGAAACGTCGGATCGTTCAACGTCGACCAATTCTGGGCCGCTGGCGGCGTTTTCATGGTCGAACACGCCCACGGCGGGGAATCGCCGCAGGTCGACACGACGCGAACCTACCGCGCAAGCTTACGCGCTCGACGGTCCGCGCGGATGCCTCGGAGCTGCGCTCGACCCCCCCTCTCCCATGGCGCGCGGAGCGCTCCAGCCGCGGCGCAGGGCGCCGCAGGGGGGGGGCCCATAGCACAGAGCCGAAGCATCCGCGCGGACCGTCGAAAGCTTGCAATTAAGTCTGCCTTGTGGTGTCTTCCTCGATGCCAGACGTGCCCCGAGGGGGGCCCGAAGCTGCCCCCATGGGATCTCCAAAGTGGCTCCCGCGGCCTCCTCCTCCTCCTCCTCCTCCTCCTCCTCCTCCTCCTCCTCCTCCTCCTCCTCCTCCTCCTCCTCCTCCTCCTCTGGCGTCTTTTTCCCAGGTTTCGGCCTCCGGGGCCCGGGCCCCGAGGCCGTCAAGCACGACTCCGGGACAACAAGCTATACTCCCAGGGAAGGGGTCGGGACTTCTGGGATCGCGGATCGACAAGAATCAGGTCGGCGGTTGCCTGGGTCCGTGGAGCACCCCTCGCGGGGCCCAGCAGAGGGCCCCATGGGGGGCTCCAGAAGGGCGCGAGAAGCTGGGGGGGCACCCTGGGCCAGAGGCACCCGTAGCAGCCCCCGGTTGGTGGAAGAAGAAAGGCCGGCGGAAGCATACCGCGGCGGTTCGTGTCGTGTCGACCCCGGCGTTGGTCCCCGACACCGCGGGGATCGTGCAGCCGTGAAAGATCGGCCGTTTCCGAAACGTCAGATCCGTCAGCATCGACCGACTCTGCAGGGTCGCTGGCGGCGTTCAACGTTGAACGCCGGCGGCAGGGTCGCCGCCGGTCGGTACGACGCGAACCTTCCGTTCCATACCCGGACACTCTCGGGTCATAAACAAGAGGCATTACCAACAAAATGTTGCTATTTTCTGCCTCATGGACCCTCGGGACCGTCAAGGGATGATCTTGGGATAAGAACTGGTCCCGGTGGATGACGTCGGGGGGCTTGGTACTGCGAGGGCACTGGAGAAGAAACCATTGGATAAGGAGCCCAGGGTCTGAACAGCCAGAGGTCCTTCAATGGCGAATTGGCTATGGATGCCACCGCTGCCCTCATCAGATAAGGATGCCGCCCCCAAAGTCTGAACGTTCGGACCGTATCGTTCCATGCTGCCTATTCTGCGCGATACTTGCCGCACGCGACCGGCCCCGCACCCCCCTCATGGTCACTCCACGATTCGCGCCGACGTTGTGTCGGAATTCGCCAGACCTAAACATTACCAGACAGCGCCGGCGCGAATCGCGACGTGACCAGCCCTGTCCCCTCCGCCCCCCCTCGGTCACGCCCGACATCGCCAGGAAATAAGAAAGGTCTCGAGCACGCCAGGATGCTGGAAACACACGCCCTGACTTCGGATCCGCCGTGCTGAGGTTGCTTTCGTCCGACTTGCCAGTGAGTCGAAGATGTGCCCAAAACGATCAGAAAACATAGGGCGGATATTTCCGCCGCAAAGTGATTGGGTGGAGAAGATATTCCAGAACAGCGACGGTAAAGTAGGGTGGAAATTGGCATCAAATGAGCTTGAAGAGAAGGGCGGGAATTTTAGCCCCCCACTTGCGATATCGTCCAAAGTACGGCGGATCCGAAGTCAGGGCGTGGCTGGTGATTACATGTGGCACATCCAGGGTTCACTTGCTGGATACTGAAGCCCTGCGCGGGTAGCGAGAAACCTGGCCACATGCGTACCCAGCCCTCGCACGGGCAGGCCGCGCCATGTGTGCCCGGCTTCCTGGCGAACTTCCCAAGGTCCGCGCGGATTTCTGGGATCGGCGCTGGACCCCATCCTTGGCGCACGGAGAGCGGCAGGGGCGGCGCCAGAGGCGCCGCCAGGAGGGGGGGGGGGAGCCAGCGCAGATCGAAGCGATCCGCGCGGGCACCCCGAACATTCAGGCTAGCGCCAGGTCGGACAGGGCCTCCTACAGGCGGACTTTGGAAGACACATTCAGAAATAGCCGGAAAAGAGGCATATTCAAACATAGTCGAAAATAGTGATGAGAAAATCGTCCCCAGACTTATTGTTCACTATCCTTGAACTCTCCTCCTGTAGAGGGACAGGCCCGCCTCAAGGTTTGCGCAGGTCTTTCCTCTTCGATCGCGGCCGGTGGGCCGGGAGGCGGCCTGCGGGATCGCGGGGTGGGCGGGCCACAAAAACCTGCTGCGGAGGGGGGGGAAAGGAGGAGGCGGAGGAGGAGGACGTGGAGGACGTGGAGGACGTGGAGGACGAGGAGGACGACGAGGAGGAGGAGGAGGAGGAGGAGGAGGAGGAGGAGGAGGACGAGGAGGAGGAGGAGGGGGGGAGGAGGAGGAGAGGAGGAGGAGGAGAGGAGGAGGAGGAGGAGGAGGAGGAGGAGGAGGAGGAGGAGGAGGAGGAGGAGGAGGAGGAGGAGGAGGAGGCGAGGGGAGAGCCTGGGGGAAGAGAGGAGGAGGCGGGGGGAGACCCTTAGGGGGGGGGAAGAGAGGTCGGAGGCGAGGGGGAGATCCTCCAGGGACGAAGGCGAAGGGAGAGGGGGGGGGGGGGGGGGGGGGGGCGAAGAGGCCGAGGCCGAGGGCGCAGAAGAGCGGGAGGGAGAGGGCGAGGCGAAGAGCCCCGCGGAACCTCCACGAGGGGCCTCGCAACGCTCGGGGGCGCCGCGGCCTCTGCCCAGGCGCCCCGCCGCGCCCCTCGAGGACGGGGGGGGGGATGGATCTGCGTCCTCGCCGCCGCGTGCCAGGCCCGCCGTGAGGTGCCTGGTGCGGGGCTCGCTTTCTCCGAGGTTCGGGGCCCTGGGTTTGTGGATGCCACGACAATGGGCACCCTAACAATCCAACCCTTGAATCAAACATGTGCCTGAAGTGTGCAGGGCATGTCCTGCACGTGGTTCAAACATGTTTTTTGTTTCACAATAGCTAAAAGCATGCTTGAAGCACGTGTGGGCATCTGGCAACTGTTTGGCAGCATGCTTCCTCTCCGATAATGGACTTCCACAACCCTCGGTCTCTGACACGTGTTGTTGCTGTTGGTGTTGTTGTTGTTGCTGCTGCTGTTGTTGTTGCTGCTGCTGCTGCTGCTGTTGCTGTTGCTGTTGTTGTTGTTGGTGTTGTTGTTGTTGTTGTTGTTGTTGTTGTTGCTGTTGCTGTTGCTGTTGCTGTTGCTATTGCTGTTGTTGTTGCTGCTGCTGTTGCTGCTGCTGTTGTTGTTTTGTCTTCGGGGGTTGCTAAAAGGTGCCCTGGGCCCAAGGTGCCCGCAGCATCTCGCTCCATTCGAGGGCCCCTCGGGCCCCCGTGGGCCTCGTGAGGGGTGATCTGGAGGCCGCCTGGGCCACCCTGAGAAGCCTGGGGGGCACCCTGGGCCAGGGGCACCTCTGCCAACACCCGACTCCTGGGCCCCGCGGGTGCGATTGCCAGGGACGTGCCTCCACACAGCCTACCCGTAGACTCAGGACGCGCGACAAGGATGGGATGCAATGGCCATGTCGGCACTTCGCGAGCGTGGTCATCTCTCCGTCCACCTCCGCCGGTCGCGCGCCGCTCTTGGCGCGACCCTCCCTCTCGGGGTCAGCGGGCCCACATCCCCGACGTCATGAATTTCTCCTGACGTGGACCCCCAGCGAACTGGACCCATTCCCCAGGACCGGTTTTCCCTCCTGGATCGTTTTTGGCCGGTCCCGAGGGCCGGCACGGGCCCCGAGAGGCCGAACATAGACAGAAACTCCCCGTCGGCCCGTCTTCTTCAGGACCCGACGGGGGGGTTCTGCGAGCGGAGGCGGGGCGGCCTTGCCCAGCAGCGCCTTGGGCACCGGCACGAACTCCTCGATGGCGGGCTCCAGGTACACGGGGATGTCTTCGGCCGGCGGCGCCTCGGGCGGCCGCGAGTCGTGGCGGCCCCAGTCGCGCTCCTGCGCCGGCGCGCGCGCGCGCGAGGCAGACCTCCACCTCCCCGCCGTGCCGAGACCCCCTCCCAGACATGATCGCGTCGTTCAAAATCAGGACGGGGGGCTTTTGGCTATAGTATCAGCCCCGGGGGGGTCCTCACCGGGACTCGGGACCCCCCCCAAAACACGACTCAGGACGAAAACCTGGTCCCGGGGAAAGGGTCGCGGGACTTCCGGGGACGCCGCATGTCTGGGCTTGGTGAGACGAAGCCAGGACGCGGACAAGATCGGGTGAGGAGATGTCGGGGATCTCTGAGGTCTGGCGGCTCTGGAGGATGTCTCGGGCGCCGCGGCCTTCTCAGAGCGCCCCGGAACGCTCCATAAGGGCGTTCCGGAACGCTCTGGAACGGATCTATCTTCGTCCTAGCCCCGTCCGACCCTCTCCCTGCCGCTCCCGAACTTCACCGTTCCATGAAAACATCACGGCGGGAGGTGTCTCGCTGCGTTCGGCCTCTATAGGGGCCCTTCCTGCCCAGCCTCGGGGCCGTCCAACAAAAGTTCCAGGGATGACAGATCAGTCCCAGGAGGCCATGGGAATCCACGTTGTTGAAGGGGCCCTGGGACACACAAATGAATACACACAAATAACAGGACTCCCCAAATTGTCCTATATGTTATGGGTTCTGTCTTCCCCCTCACTTCCCATATTTCCGCATATTTTCCGGGGAATCGAAGATGAATTGTGTCTGTGTGCTTTTTCCCCTCCTGAGTTATGCCAAATTCGTGGCGTCGGGGGTCTGGGCTCTTGGGCGAAGGAGATGTCTGTATCGCCGCGGCCTCGCGGGACGGTAGATCTTCCCAGGGCGTTCTATAAGCCTCCCTGGCGCGCGGAGCGCGCCAGGGGCGGCGCCCCTGGGGGGCGCCGCCGGGGGGGCCCAGCGCGGATCCAAGAAATCCGCGCGGAGCGCCAAAAGTTGTTATGCTTACGGCGTTGTTTCTGTCCTTTCGATCGTCTTTGGTTCTGTGCAAGGAGATCTGCTGTGATCTACCTCCCGCGCTCGCCGTCCTACCTATAGGAGCTGGGCCTCAACGTTGCGTCTCGCTTTGTTTCCGTTTTGTTGTTCGTTCTGCTCCCCCTGTTTTCCTCTACCGCCATAGCCAAACCTAAAACAAAACACATCCGAAGTCCAGCAAAACACAGCGTTTAGGTTTGTGGATGCCATGTCAATGGGCACTCTAACAAATCCTAGCATGGAAGTTGGACAAGTGATTTGACATGTGTAAAGCATGTTCTAAACATGATTCAAACAGGCTGTAGACATATGTATAAACATGTTTGAAACATCTTTTAGACACCTGGGAATTATTTGGCAACCTGTTTCCTCTCCATGAATCGACTTCCACAGGTTTAGGTCCAGCCCTGCTGCCCACCTCCGCCTGGGTCGGGGGGGGCCCTCGCCCGCAGGCGTTCCGAGCCCAGAGCACGGTGAGGCACCCGCTCCGACGTCGCGGCGGCAGCAGCAGCCTCGACCCTGCGGGTTCCTCGACCTTCGCCCTCCCTTCCTGCCTCCCCCTCCTTGGTCCTCGATCGAGGGCAACGGTTCTTCCCAGACCCCCCGTCGAGGCATGGAGAATCACGACGGGAGGTGTTTCGCGACTCTCGGCCTCTGGGGGGCCCTCGCCAGCACTCGGGGCCGTCAAACAGCGACTCGGGACAAACAAATGGTCCCGCGGAATGGGTCCAGACCGCTGGGGGTCCACGTCATGAAAAACTCATGATGCCGGAGGGCTGGGTTGATCCTTGATCGAGGGCAGCAGTTCCACGGGGGGACTGCGAGCAGGCGATAGCATCGACCTGGAATCGGTGATCCATCGCCGATAGCTGGGCGATGGCGACGGGGCTCGATGCACCCGCCGAGCCAATCCACCTCCCTAACGTTGCCCCTGGTCACGTGGCGGGTTCCAGAAACCCTGAACCCAAAAAGGTTGCCCCCGAGCCGATCCACCCCCCTGACGTTGCCCGTTGGTCACCTGGCGGATCCTGGAAACCCTGAACCCGAAAAAGGTTGCCCCCGAGCCGATCCACCCCCCTTAACGTTGCTCGTTGGCCACGTGGCGGATCCTGGAAACCCTGGACCCAAAAAGGCTGCCCCCGAGCCGCTCCACCCCCCTAGCGTTGCCCGTTGGCCACCTGGCGGATCCTGGAAACCCTGGACCCAAAAAGGTTGCCCCCGAGCAGATCCACCCCCCTGACGCTGCCCGTTGGTCACCTGGCGGCAACGGGAAACCACACACAACACACAACAGAGCCGCGCCTGGACGGCGCATCGGCAGGAAAATTGGCTACGTGAAACACATGTGCATTAGAACGGGGTTCGTGCAGACGCTCCCCTGCAGTGCCTCGGAAGCGTACGCTGGAATTCTCTGCCCCAGCGAAGCTCTATGCCCCAGCGATGCCGGAAACCCTGAACCCCCCAAAAAAGGCTGCCATCTCTCGGGAGGTCGACCTTTGCCTCCGCCGGCGGAGGCCGCCGCCGCCGCCCGCCGCCGCCGCCGCCGCCGCGGCCGCCAACGACGACGACGACGACGACGACGACGACGACGACGACGACGACGACGACGACGACGACGACGACGACGACGACGACGTCTTCCTTCCGCCGCCCTTCCGCCGCCTGCCGCCGAGGAAGCCATGTGCCGACTCCCGGCGGCGAGCCCGGGGGGGAGAGCGCGGAGAGGGGCGGGCCTTCCCAGAGGGCTCGGATAGGTCCCCCCCGGCCTGCTGTGGGGAAACAGGCCCTGACACAAACATTAAAACACTCGGAGCTCCGCGCGGACGTCTCCGGACCGGCGCGCGGAGCGCGCCAGGGGCAGCGCCGGAGGCGCCGCCAGGGAGCCCCAGCGCCGATCCGCGAAATCCGCGCGGAGCTCCGAGTGCTTCTGCTTATATGTCATGGTTTGTCCCCCTACCCTGCGAAAAATGTTCAGAGCCTTCCCCGAACGCAGAAAAAAAAAGACTTCTCGGAGGGCCGGAGGGCGCTTCGGAGGAGCCCCGCCGCCTTCCTGAGGGGGGGCCTCCTCCTTCTCGCGCCTCCTCCTCCTCCTCCTCCTCCTCCTCCTCTCTCTCCTCCTCCTCCTCCTCCTCCTCCTCCTCCTCCTCCTCCTCCTCCTCCTCCTCCTCCTCCTCCTCCTCCTCCCCCCTCGCTCGCCGCCGAGACTCCTTCGACCCCCTCGCGGGCGAGGCCCTCCCCGGAGCGCTCCGTGTGGTGCTGGGGCGCCGGCGCTCCGCAGGCGGTGGGCACATGCAGAGTCTCCGGCCTGGGGGCCTGGCACCCTCGACCCTACCCTTAAGTTGGGCTTGTCCTCCTACAGGCGGATTTTGGACGAAAAATGGAAAAATCAAGCAATGCCCCAATATTGTGGAAAAATATTCAAATATATACATATATATATATATATACACACTTGTTTTACACTATTTTTGAATATTCCCCCTGTAGAGGGACAGGCCCGACTTAACCCTACCCCCCTCTCTCCCGGGCAACGCCTCGGGACCTCGGTGCCCGATCCGCGAGCCTCGATCCTCCTCTGGGGAGCGAGAAAAACATTCCCCCCCTCATAACCCTTTGGGAGGCGACCTCGGCCATTGGAGGCCAGGAACCTTCGGGAGAGCAAGAGCGCGAAAAGCACGGACCGAGCCCCAAACCCTTGCTTGCCACATGTTTCGAAGGCGGTCGATATGTGACGACCTGAGGGGCCCGAAACCAGGCTAATATGGCCCAATATTGTAAACAAAAAATGAAAAATATAAACTTTTCTACTATTTTTCAATATTCCTCCTGTTGAGGGACAAACCCGACTTAACCCTACCTCCCTCTCTCCCGGGCAACACCTCGGGACCTCGGTGCCCGATCCGCGAGCCTCGATCCTCCCCTGGGGAGCGATAAAAAATTCCCCCCCCTCATAACCCTTTGGGAGGCGACCTCGGCCATTGGAGGCCAGGAACCTTAGGGAGAGCAAGAGTGCGAAAAGCACGGACCGAGCCCCAAACCTTTGCTTGCCACATGTTTCGAAGGCGGTCGATATGTGACGACCTGAGGGGCCCGAAACCGGGCTAACACGGTCGTTTTGAAGAAAATGCAACGCGCGGGTCTCAGTCGTATCCCTCTCCCCCCCGCTCCTCCCTGATTTCGGATTCGCCGTAGTTTGGACGATGTTGCAAATAGGGCACCAATTCCCGCCCTACTTCTCAAGCTTCTTTGATGCCGATTTCCACCATACTTTTCTATCGCTATTTCCGCCATGAGTTTGCGGAAACCTCAGCCCTACTTTCCTGAGGCGGAAGTTTCCGCCCCACTTGCTCGCATCGCCTGGGGTGTATTTCCGAAACACTTTTACAGAACACCTGCCACAGTGCGGCGGATCTTCGAAGTCAGGGCGGCCCGTCGGCAGATTGCTTCAACACCTGTTGCGACCGATCGGTCGCGACCGAATCTGGAATCTGTCACGAACGGTCGCGGCCGATTTGACGTGCCGATCGATCTCCACCGATCGCGATCGAAACTTAGCCTGGCGAAGAACCCGACCATACGCAGTTGTGCGTACTGAGATTGTGAGTACCGTCTTAATTGGAAGTTCCCATGGGGCGCCGCCCGCATGCGGGATGTGCCGCTGGGGCCTTCGGTGGAGCTCCCTGCGGAGCCACGAAACGTGCGAGGGGTGTGCCCAAACGTGGGTGCCGCGCAACTGCGGGCCGCGCCACTGCGACCGTTGGTGGAGCTCCCTGTGGGGCCACGAACCGTGTGATGTGTGTGTGTGTGCCGAAACGGGGGTGCCGCCCACATGCGGGCTGCGCCGCTAGGGCCACGGGTGGAGCTTATGGGGCCACGAAACGTGTGAAGGGTGTGTCGAAACGGGGGTGGCGCCCACATGCGGGCGGCGCCGCTGGGGCCTTCGGCGGAGCTGCTTGTGGGGCCACGAAACGTGTGAAGGGTGTGCCGAAACGGGGGTGAGGCCCACATGCGGGCGGCGGCAACGGGACCTCAGGCGGAGCTCCCGATGGGGCCACGAAACGTGTGAGGCGCGTACCGACACGGGAGTGCTGACGATGATGGTGATGATGACGGCCATGATGATGATGATGATGATGATGATGATGATGATGATGATGATGATGATGATGATGATGATGATGATGATGATGATGATGATGATGATGACTATGCTGATGATGAGAGGAGGGAAGGCAACGGGTGGAGAGGGGGGGGAGGAGAGGAGGAGAGGACAAAAACGCGGGGCGCTCTCTTCAAAACAAGGACCCACACCACAGGATGGTTGGGAAACATGGGGTATGCAAAGATTTGAGTGGCCAGCCAAACATAACAAGCATACGTCGGTCAGAAGAAGTAGGTAAGCGGATAAAGTAGATTTGGTGCAGGCCCTCCAAGAGAATAACCAAACACGCTTGTTTTTTCTTGTGTTGCTCTGCATGCTTTTTTTTTTCAGCATGTCGAATCTTGAAACAGGAAGGCGCTTGAAGTAGACTGGGAGATGGGAATGCAGAAATCCCAGTTGTCAGCAAAAGGCACGTCTCTCTGGGATGACGAACTAGCCTTAGGTCGGGCCTCTCCCCCTACAGGCCGATTTTGGATGAGAAATTGCAAACAATCAGAAACTACCCTAAAATATTCAAAAGTGGTCAAAGATCGTCCCCAGACGATTTCTTTTACTATTTTTGAATCTTCCTCCTGTAGAGGGACAGGCCCGACTCAAAACTAGCCCTGGGCAAATGGTCGAGATCTCTGGGGTCGCAGATGGGACAAATCAATTCGTCGGATGTCTGGCTACGCCTCGCCCCTGAGAGCCGGGGTAGCAAAAAACACTGCAACATCGCAGCAAAGCACGACTGGAGCCCTGGAGCCTACGTTCGTGGATGCCACGACAATGGACACCCTAACAGTCCGATCATCGAGTTAAACATGTGTAAAAAAATGTCGGAAACGCTTCCTGCAAATGATTAAACCATGTTATATTTTAATATTTTAGAGCAGTTTTAACACATGTTCTAGACATCTGGAAATGATGTGGCAACATGCTTCCTCCGCGTTGATCGTCCTCCACAAGCCTACGTGCTATCCTGCGTCGTTTCTCGAGCCGGATCGATCTGTAAAGGTCCTGGAGCCCGAAGCCGGGCGAAAGTGCCCGCATCTGAGAACCTCCCCCCCCCGCCGTGTGGGTCGGACAGCACAGGCAGTGGCGCCCGACGCACTGCGGCAGTGCTGAGGCCGCACTGGGGCGAAGGGGGGGGGGGAGGGCGTCACGTAAATTGTGGGGCTGGGCGTTTTCTGGTCCAGAGGGCGAAGAAGCATGATTTTTCCGCGACGTCGACCCCCAGAAGTCTCGACCCATCCCCAGGGGCCGGCTGTTATCATCCTGAGCCGTTGGTTGACGGTCCCGAGGGCCGGTAAGGGGAACCCCAGGGGCCGACAATGGCGAACCTATCCTCATGACCCGAGGGGGTCTGTGAGCGCTCCCGAGGGCCCCGAGATGTATCCGCCAACCCAGACCCCCGACGTCATGAATTTTCCATGACGTCGACCCCCACCGGTCTGGACCCATTCCCCGGGACCGGTTTTTCGTCCTGCGTCGTTTTTTGACGGTCCCGAGGACCGGTAAGGGCCCCCAGAGCCCAAACATGTAAATAAAAAAAACCTCCCGTCGCGATGTTTCCATAGCTCGAGGGGGTCTGGGAACGCGCGGCGGCTCCCCACGCCCGGGCTGCATCGGGGCGGCGGCGCGCACAAGGGGGTGGGGGGAGGGGGGAGGGCTTTCTCAGAAGCAGGCGGCCTCTTAGCAGGCGCCGGCCTCACATCTATAGATAAGGCCCGCGCCTTCTAAGAAGCAGGGGTGCTTCTGAGAAGCCCTCCCCCCTCCCCCCACCCCCCTCTGCGCGTGGCCGAGGAGGGCGGAAGCAAGGGACGCACTCACACTCCGCATGCATGACGTGTGGACGGATCCGCGCAAACCCAGAAGGGAGCCGCCGAGGGTGGGGGGGGGCGCCGCGGGACACGAGCGCGGCGGAGGGCTTCGGGGCAATGCTCTGCGGTTTCGGGGGAGGGAGGAGGCAGGAGGGACCAGGAGGGAGGAGGAGGAGGAGGAGGAGGAGGGGAGGAGGAGGAGGAGGAGGAGGAGGAGGAGGAGGAGGAGGAGGAGGAGGAGGAGGAGGAGGAGGAGGAGGAGGAGGAGGAGGAGGAGGAGGGGCGGCGGCCGGCCGGCGCCTCCCGCGGCGCCATCCACCCGGGCTGCAGCTCGCCGCCGCCGCCCTCGGGCCCCGGCGCGCCCGGCCACTGCGGCCACGCCTCTCGCGGGCCGCGGCGGCCGTGAAGTCGGGCCCGTCCCCCTATGGCGAAACATACCCAAAAAACAAAACAATCCGCCCGAATGTTCAAACATAGATCCAAAAGATAATCCCCAGACTCCTATAGATCCCACAAGTGCTCAAAAATAGATCCAAACAGGGGGATGTTGGGCGCAACATACCCCCAAGAAACAAAAAACAAATCCGCCCAAATGCTCAAAACTAGTCAAAAAAACATCGTCCCCAGACTATGTTTTTACTATTTTCTATATCCCCTCCCTGCCGTTAAGTCGGACCCGTCCCCCGATACAGGGGGATTTTGGGCGAAGCATACCAACAAAAACAGAACACCATTTCCGCCCAAATGCTCACAAAATAGTCCCCCAAAATCATCCCCAGACTATTCTTCTTACTATTTTTTAGATCCCCCCTGTAGAGGACACGCCTCACTGAAGGCTGCGGCGGGGGCGGGCCCGCCCGCCAGCGGTGGTGCAGGGGCCGGCCGTGCCGGCGCTGCTGCAGGCCTGCCACGGCGTGTTCTTAGAACAGAGCAACGTTCCCAAACCTCCTCGGGGATCTTCTGACCCGGGTCAATCCAGACCCGGGTCAGCAGGAAACCAAAAACTGCAATGCAGGAAAAAAAACTGCAACGCAGGTCTTCGCAAACCCGGGTCAGCCAATAGGCGCGGCCGCCTCGCGGCCACGAGCGGCTCTCGCTAACCCGGGTCAGCCAGAGGGGGTCTTCGCAGGATCCTGCAGGATCCGGCGCCCTGGCTGACCCCCGTCTGCACTGAACCACGTCTCGAGGCTACCGACCTCCTCGAGTGGGGAGGTTTTCGCTATTTCCGGCCCCTGGGGGCCCTCCCTGGCCCTCAGGACCGTCAAGAAACGACTCAGGACGAAGAAGCGATCCCGGGGATCGGGTCCGTGCAAAAGTCATGGCGTCGTGGGTCTGCGCTCGGAGCACAACAACCAAGTTCTTGCAACAGAAGAAGCCGATGTCTGAAAACAGGACGGTCTCATGCAGGAATGTTGCTAGAGCATTTCGTGCAAACCACAAAGAGCCTGTTTTTGGGGATTCAGGCAAGTTTACTTGCATGGCGTTCGCCCCCACCCCCCCCCCTCTCCCCCCTCGCCCCTCTTCAAGCGAATACTAGCGTGCAAGTGCCTTTCGACTTGCGTGATTTCCGCGCCCCCCCGAACGTGCAAGTCGTTTGCGGCTTGCTTCAGGCTCAGCCCCCCCCCCCGGTCCATGCAAGTAAACCTGCCAGAGTCTAAAAAAAAACAGGCTCAAAACAATTCTCAGAACACTCTCCGGTGGGCCCATAGGCAAGCCAGGACGCTTCGCCACTGCTCGACCGTGCGGGTGTCTCCTGCGGTCGGCCACGCCTGCTTCCGGCCTGCCGCCGCGGCGGCCCCGGCGATCCGCCGTGCCCCGCGAGCGGACGGCGTGCCGCTCCGCCCCCGCGGCCCGCGGGGCGAGAGGCGCTCGGGACAGCTCGGGGCGCTGACGTCGGGGGGGGGCCGAGGAGCGGATGGCGTATTATGGCGCCGAGGCGCGGAGTGGGCCAGCACCGGCGGGAGCGGCGCGCGGTCCGAAGGTCCCGCAGTGCAGTTGGGGCCCGAGTGCGGCAGAACACCAACTGAGGCTATAGGCCATGGATATCATCACCGCCGCCCTTCTCGGATGAGACATCCCTCCAGGGTCCGAAGCCTCCTGGGCACATCCCTGAACGAACGCGCCCCCCACCGTAGACGGGGTCGGAGGGTCGCGCCGCGTCACCAAATGCATTGGCCGATGCATGGACGGCGTGGGCGATGCATCGGCGCCATCGGCGTGGAGAAACTCTGGCTCCACTTCGGGCTGCACCGTCGAAGCATCGTCGATGTGGAGCGATCCTTGGATCCCATCTGCTCGGGCCCCATGTGGGTGGGAGGCCCCCAATGCGAGGCGGGAACTTATCCATATCCTCCGCCTGGGAACCGACGTCCTGGTGCCCCAGCGGGCGGTGGATATGGATATATTTTGGCCCCCGAGGGCCCGAATATAGATCCACACCCACCGCCTGCGGAGGTCCCCGAGGATCGATCGACCAGGCGGTGGATGTGGAGAAATCCCCGCCTCGGACCAGAACCGAGGCCCCGAAGCCTCGATGCTGCTGCACCTGGGCGTGGCTCACGGCTCTGCGCCTGCGGGGGACGCCTTGCGGCCGCGGGGCAAGGCCACGAGAGATCCAAGCAGGACACCACCACCAGCCCTGGCCGGGCCTGCAGTCGGACTCGATTGGACAGGACACGCGCGAGGGCACGAGACCCCTCCGAGGGCCACATCGCCATAGGAGTGCAAGAAGGCACGTGTCGCGAGGCATAGGACACAAGGGTACCCTTGAGCTGGCAGGGTCGACCTAGAAATCCGGGCCGACTGTATCCTGGGCCCTGGACTGGTGTACATGCCCTCCTGGTCTAGGCTGGGAGGTCTATACACCAGTCCAGGGCCCAGGATGGACCTGGCCAGGGCTGGTGGTGTATTGTTGTTGTTGGCGTCCCTCCGAAAGGCAACACGGATATACGGGACGGACGAAGCCCAGACCCCCGACGCCACGAACTTTTCAGCGCGTGGACCCCCAGAAGTCTGGACCCCTTTTTCCCGGGACCGGATTTTCGTCCCGAGTCGCTCTTCGACAGTCCCGAGGCCCGCCGAGGGCCTCCAGGGGCCGCAATCAGCAAACGAGCACTGCTCGGCATGACTTTCTCGTGACCCGCGGGGGCCTGGGACCGGTCCCCTGGGGGAGGGAGGGGACGGGACCTGCGGGGCCGCGCATCGGAAAAACATATTTTCTCCTCCTCCTCCTGCTCCTCCTCCTCCTCCGCCTCCTCCTCCTCCTCCTCCTCCTCCACCGCCTCCTCCTCCTACTCCTGCCGCTCCCCCTCCTCTTCCTCCTCCTCCTCCTCCTCCTCCGCCTCCTCCTCCGCCTCCTCCTCCTCCTCCTCCTCCTCCTCCTCCTCCTCAGTCGGCTGGGGCCGCTGCCGCGGGGCCCCGCAGCAGGGCACGCACGGGGCTCGTCGTCCCCACTGACGCATCGTCCCGTCGCGGAAAGGGCACGGCGGGAGGCTCTCTTGCCCTCATCCGCGGGGCTCCGGGAAGGCCCTCACCTGGCTCCATAGCGCCGTCAACAACAGACTCAGGACAGAAAGCCTGTCCCGGGGCAGGGGTCCACCTGCGGGGAGCCACGCATGCAGAACCAAACCTTTTTTGCGTCAGCGGCGAGGCAGGGGAAGTCTGCGCTGGCGGAAGGGCCCAAACGGGGGTGCCGTCAGGGCAAAGTGCGCCACCATGCCACCCGGCTCCAGCGCCGTCAAAATCGGGGGGGGGGGGGCGGCGGGGTGGGGTTGGGGGCAAAGGTGGGGTCGGAAGGGAAATCGCTCCGAACGGCCCCAGAAGAAAAAAGCGCGTGAAACGGGAGCGTCCAGCCGGGCCCGCTCCCCAGCCACACCCTGGGAGGATCCAGTGGGGTGCTGGGCAGGCGACTTCGCACAGGAGGGTGGGTGGCAGCCTCGCTGCTGCATCTTGCATTCACTCTTGTGTTCATCCTCCATCTCCTCCTTGCTCCCCTTGCTCCTCCTCCTCCTCCTCCTCCTCCTCCTGTTCCTTCTCCTGCTCCTTCTCTTCCCTCTCTCCACTCCTCCTCATCTCCCCCCTCCTACTCCTTCCTCCTCTACGTTAACTCTCCTCCTCCTCCTCCTCCTCCTCCTCCTCCTCCTCCTCCGCCGCCCTCAACCCCCCCTCCTCATCCATCCACCCCCACCTCCCCCTCCTGTCTTCAAATTCCTCCTCCTCCTCCTCCTCCTCCTCCTCCTCCTCCTTCTCCTCCTCCTCCTCCTCCTCCTCCTCCTCCTCCTCCTCCTCCTCCGGCCTCACTGGAGTCGATTCAGGAGGCGATCGGCCGCCTGTCGAGGGACGAGATCGCGAAGCTCGGGAAGGTGCTGGCGGAGCTCAGTGGCTTGTCTGGCGCTCCCGCCGCTGCAGGGGCGTCCCCTCGCCTGCCTGCGGCTGCGGCGGTCCCCGTGCCTTCGGCGGTGCCAGCGGCAGCGCAGCAGGTGGACGCTCCCAAGGAGGAGGGGCCTGGCGGGTCGCAGGCGGCGCAGCAGGTGTGGCAGGACATCGCATGCGGGATGGAGGACCCTGCCAAGAGGGAAGCAGCCGAGCAGCTGCTGGGTGACGCCAAGAAGATGCGGACGGAGGTCAAGCAGTTGGAGGAGGAGTCCTAGCATGAAGTGTGGGGTCTGGAGGATCTGCACGGTCAACGTCAATGCGTTCTGCAACCTGGGCAAGTGCATGGCGGTGAGCGAGGTGCAGGACTGCGACGCCATTCTGGTCCAGGAGACGAGGCTCCTGGAGGGAAGGAGCAGTGATGCGGAGGCGCAGCTACGAAGCCAAGGATGGCGGGCGAGAGGTACGCCCGCGGTGCCGTCAGCGGCAGGAGGCCTCAGCACTGGAGGCCTCCTCACCATGGTGAGGAGGAGCCACGGCATGGCGGAGGTGCAGGACCAGCAGGCAGCGGTGCTGGTGGCTGGGCGTGTGCACCTGTGTTGGGTGTCGGGCGTGCTGCGCTGCGGCTTCCTGCTCGCCAACATCTACCTGGAGGCGGGGGTCGGCCTCAATGAGAGCAACGTGTCCAGCCTCAGGAGGCTGGCAAGGAGGTTGAGGCAGTGTCGCAGGGACTTCGTAGTGGGCGGTGACTGGAACCTCACGGAGGAAGAGCTGCAGGCGGGCGGGGTACCCGACATGTTCGACGGCAAGGTGGTCAGGCCTGCCTCGCCCACGTGCGCAGCGTCGGGGAGGACCATCGACTTCTTCCTGGTGTCCAAGGGACTGGCTGCGCTGGGTGTGCGGGTGGTGGAGGCCTCGCCAGTGTACCCGCACTCGGCGGTGATTCTCGAGATCCGCAGGCAGCAAGAGGAGGAGCGTTTCAGGCTGGTCCAGAAGCCGCGGACCTTCCC